GCCTCCAGACTAGCTGGGTCTACAGGTGCCCGCCACCATGCCTGGATAATTTTTATATTTTTAGTAGAGACAGGGTTTTGCCATCTTGGCCAGGCTGGTCTCGAACTCCTGACCTCAAGTGATCTACCCACGTCAGCCTCCCAAAGTGCTGAGATTACAGGCATGAGCCACTGTGTCCAGCCCAATGTGTACTTTCCAAAATAATGTTTTACTTTTTGGTTAAGATGTTAGTTTTGGCTTTCTGATGTAAAACTGTAAATACTTTAAAAACCAGTGTATGTATATAGATATATTAATATCTATATATAAATATATACTATATATTTATATAATATATACTTATATATTTATTTACATATTTTATATAATATATATTTATTCATATAATATATATATATATTTTAAAGACAAGGTCTTACTCCATCTCCCAGGCTCTGGAGTGCAGTAGTACAATCATAGCGCACTGCACCCTTGACCTCCTGGGTGCAAGCAGTCCTCACACCTCTACTTCCTGATTAGCTGGGACTACAGGTGCCTGCCACCACTCCCAGCTAACTTTTTTATGGAGACGGGGTTTCACTATGTTGCTTAGGCTGGTCTTGAACTTCTGGGCTCAAGCAGTCTTCCCACCTTGGCCTTTTAAAGTGCTGAGATTACAGGCATAAACCATTGCACCCAGCCCAGATACATTTTTAATTATAGTGATTACAGTAGACCTATTACTATAATACTCAGTGAGCTTTTTTTATTGGAAAAAATGTCTGTCAAGGTAAATATTATCTGTCTAAATAGTTTGCTACGTGGGCTAGGCCTCCTGAGATAGGTAAACTATGTGAAGGAAGAGATAAGAAAGATCAAAGACAAAGTAATAAGCCAATTAAAGTAGAAATAATTTTGTAAGAATAAATTTGGCTATAGGAGAAGTTAATTTTAACCCACCCCTTCCTCATGTTTGGAATGTGATTTAAGGAAATGGGAATAGGCTCTTGTTATTGAGTGATTTCACCATCCTTTATTCTCGTGGGTATGGTCAAATAAATCTGCTACAGTTATCTGCCAAATCTGATGTCTGTGCATATTAAAGTTTTTTTGTTTTTTTTTTTCTGGAGGTCCATTGCTTTCATCGTATTTTTAAGGTAGTTTTATATGACGTGAAAAGGTTGAACTAGCTTACTTACGGAGATGACAATTAAAATCCTGAATTCATGAATGTGAGGAATACATTTGTTAGAAAATAAGCTGACCTTGGGGAATGACTTATTTTGTTATTTTAGATTTATGGTCACAAAATATAACCATCTATTTGTGGTTACTGAAATGTAGGTCTCAGGCTTTGGCTACCAATATTTCAAATCTAGGGCTGTGGTAGTAGACAGAAATCTAAGTGATACTAATATATATGGTCCTTGGACTACATTTTTAGATATTTTGCTTTATATGGTTTTTGGACTACGTTTTTAGAGATTTTGCTTTAAGCAATTTGACGCAGAGAACATTTTCTTGATACCTCTAGCATCTAGCATAGTGGATTATAAGACATTTCATGCTCTTTTTTGCCCCCTCTTTAAAAAACAATTTTACTATGTGAAATAAGAACTGTCATTTTGGTGTGGGAGAGGAGCCTTGAGTATGTAATCAAGATCCAGAGGCTGTCCAGGCGCGGTGGCTCACACCTATAATCCCAGCACTTTGGGAGGCTGAGGTGGGTGGATCACAAGGTCAGGAGTTTGAGACCAGCCTGGCCAATATGGGGAAACCCTGTCTCTATTAAAAATACAAAAATTAGCCAGGCATGGTGGCATTTGTTTGTAGTCTGAAGTGCTTGGAGGCTGAGGCAGAAGAATCAATTGAACCTGGGAGGCAGAGGTTGCAGTGAGCCGAGATCATGCCACTGCACTCCAGCCTGGGCGACAGAGTGAGACTCTGTCTAAAAAAATAAATAAATAAAATAAAATAAAATAAAATAATCCAGAGACCCTAGTTTGATTCTTTAGCATTGTGCTGTAATTTTCTACAAGTGGGCCCAACTAGTGGGCCATGCCTGGTTTTTAAATAGACTAGTATAGATCACCTTACCTACCATGTGCCAAGTGCGTAAGTAAAAGAGGAAGTATATGAATATGTTTTCAAATCACTCTCTGTTGTCGTGTTTCTGTCTCAGCTTGAAATGTTTGCTTTTGCTGTCTGTTTTTCCTCCTGGATCATGTAAAAATGCCTTAAGCCTGTAGGGAATTAGAGTAACATTTCTAAAGTGAAAGTTACAACTGACCCAGCTTTAAACTGGCAGACATGAATTACTTTGGTATTGTCAGTGTTTATTAGAGCATAGGGCAACTGGAATTCCTCTGAGTTGAGGAATTTGAATATTGGCAGGAAGAGCAAAAATAATTCCTTATGTCATAGAACAAGGAAGTCTGATAAAAAGGAGGGTGCACCTGGGTGATTGTCTAGGTATATATTACCTCATTCATCTCCATATTCCTCAGGACCCACTTAGTACACAGCCGCGTCCTAAGGATGTGTCTGATCTGGGACACCCAGGGAGAGGACAGACAATAGGGGTATTGAAATTCATTCAGAGCAAGACCAGAGGGATTTGATTCAGACTGGGATGTTCAGGGTTTTCCAAGGACAGGCTGATCTGACTCTTGGGCTCCAGGACAATTCAGAACTCTTGGGAATTTTTCTGACTAGGGAATAAAGAGCCAGAATCTACTGATGTATCCATACTCTTCTGTTAAAGATCCCTTCTGGCCTTTGTCCAGTCTGTCTGGTGATTTGCTCTAGGGCTTTCTGTAGGATATATATGGAGTTGGAGAATTGAAGGGCCAGCCCTTATGTACCCCTATTCTCTTTTTTTCCAGTCTCTAGTTCTTCAAAGAACTGCATAAATGTTACAGGTTAACAAGTATTCTTGAAGCCACTCTCTGATGGACTGAATAAAATGCCTACTTCTTTGCATTTATTTTGTGTGTGTGTGTGTGTGTGTAGATCATATCAGATCCCTTTTTAGCATTCGTTTATTATGTCAAGGAAATTGGATTTTGGAAACCCAGTAACCTATTGTCCATTGTTTTTAGTCCTTCATTTGCTTTTCATTTTTATTATTCTTTGTCTTTTCTTCTTTCTCCTTCCCCACAGGAAGAGAGTCTGTCATATAGTAAGGAGCTCTTAGATTGGAAACCCAGGCATCTTCCTCTCTAGGTATAAATGAGCTTGTGCAGAATGGGACGTATGAATCACTGTGTCTCATCCATCATTGGCAGCCCTTGGCTTGTCACATCTCACATCTGTTTTGAATAGTCTTCTGGGCTCCCTACTCATTTGTGGGAAAACTAACATGTGGTAGACAAACAATACAGTACCTTTCCAGTGAGAGCTCTAACAGTGTAGCTGTTTGCTGGGCATCTGGTTCAAGTAGCTGAATCACTGTTATACTTCATCCTGGCCCAGCCTCAGCAAAATTTTGTGGTGTGAAGTATTTATTTTATAAAACATTTTGATCTACTGGGAGAAAGAAGAAGTGAAATTCAAACCTGTGGCTTATTTCCTAACATCTGTGCCCAAAGTATGTATTGGGAAGGTTCAGATGCTCTTTGGAGTTTCTTGTTATTTATTTTTAGAGCTGTTGTTCTTCCTGTTCCCTGTCTAATAAGTATTAGACATGTATCAAAACCACTTGCTATTTATGCTGATTTTTAATATTAATAAGAATGTAATTTATCTTGAACCTATTTCTTCTGCTAGCCCTTGGCAACTAGTCCAACTTCTAAATAAATATGTTATTCCTGACTGGAGTCCTACTATAGTACATATATCTCTTATTAACTTATCTCTGGGAAGAGGCTTTGGTACTCTTTGAAATTATCTATTCAGTATCTAGAAATGCGGAAATACTTTTCTGGTTGCTTATATGACTCTGTCACTATGTTTGTGTCAATCACAGTAGTTCTCCCGTTAAGTTGATAGGACTTGCCTGACTAATTCTGCCAAATTCATTTCCATTTGGGAAGTAAAGACTCTTTAGACCTTTCTCAGATCTCTTTCTGCCTTTCAGCCTCATTTCTTATTTCTCTGTTTCTGTGCTCCTTACGATGAGTCATAAGTATTGTAGGACCCATTCTTCATGGATTGCTGGGATAGTACTTCTAATAGGAAATAATAGTGTTTTTTAAGAAAAATATTTCCTTTCTAATGTTTTCTTTACAGTAAATACACATTGAATATCTGTAGAAGGAAAAAGTATCCGCAGTTAATTTTATTAAACTGATTAGTTTTATTAAATGTAAGATGTTGGATGTTATTCTCCTATCTCAGGCTGTAATACTTTCTTCTTAGTGTATTTAAATAACTCTATCCATTCATAAATATCGTGAAGTCTTTTCAAACGTAAAATTAAATTGTGAAAGATATGCAAGAAAATAAAACTCCAACCCGGGCGCAGTGGCTCATGCCTGTAATCCCAGCACTTTGGGAGGCTGAGGCGGGCAGATCTCCTGAGGTCAGGAGTTCGAGATCAGCCTGACCAACATGGTAAAACCCCATCTCTACTAAAAATACAAAAAAAATTAGCCATGCATGGTGGCCGGCACCTGTAGACCAACTACATAGGAGGCTGAGGCAGGAGAATTGCTTGAACCTAGGAGGTGGAGGTTGCAGTGAGTTGAGATCGCACCACTGCACTCAAGCCTGGGCGACAGAGCGAGACTCCGTCTCAAATAAAAAAGAAAAGAAAACTCCAGTTAAAACAGAGAGTTAAAATGGTGTTTTCCTAGGATTTTATGGAAAAGGCTTTTCACTTAATATTAAGTGTACATGTGGAGATGTAGTTCTTAACATAATTCCATTATGACAGTTGTCATCTCAATTATAAATTAGATTGAATTTATAATTTTCCCTTGAATTATTCCCTTGTTGTCCAGTTCTTATATCTGGTATGCAGATGAGTAGGAAAAGCTTCCATTTTAAAAGAATAACATGTTTGCTTGTGTTTATTTCAGGAAAACCTCACAGCACGGGTAGCTCTGAACGGATTCAGCTCTCAGGAATGTATAATGTCCGTAAAGGCAAAATGCAGTTGCCAGTGAACCGATGGACAAGACGCCAAGTCATCCTGTGTGGGACCTGCCTGATAGTATCATCTGTGAAAGACAGCTTGACCGGAAAGATGCATGTTCTGCCACTGATTGGTGGAAAAGTAAGTACGTTAGTTAGTTTGTTTGTTTATTTATTTATTTTTTGAGTAGGAGTCTTGCTCTGTTGCCCAGGCTCGAGTGTAGTGGCATGGTCTCAGCTCACTGCAACCTCTGCCTCCTGAGTTCAAGCCATACTCCTGCCTCAGCCAGGATTACAGGCATGCACCACCACACCTGGCTAATTTTTGTATTTTCAGTAGAGACGGGGTTTCACCATGTTGGCCAGGCTGGTCTTGAACTCCTGACCTCAAGTGATCTGCCCGCCTCGGTCTCCCAAAGTGCTGGGATTACAGGTGTGAGCCACCGTGCCAGGCCAAAAATTAAGTTTAAAACAAGCAAAATACTAACAGGTTTCCCAGCATCAGTAAGGACCTTACTTTAAGCCATTTCTGTGATGTGGGGTAGATGATTTTTGACTCATCTGAGGTCTTATTCAGTTCCTGTTGTGGATGTTGTCAGTTGGTGGAACTGTGGAGAAAAAACAGTGCCATTGGCTCATATGAGGCCTTGATGATCGTTGCTTCATGAGTTATGTGCATTGTACCTACTGGACAGAAAATAGGTAGAATTTCATTGTCATATTTCAGAGTTTAGATGACAGATTGATTACTTATGAGTTGGTGTCTTAAGCGTACATTTTCTAGTAGAGTCTACTGATCCTTAAATTTGTGAATTTAGAAACATTGACACATGCTGAAGGTTTGAGTCTATAGTGCTTAAGTATTTGACCTCATTTTCCCCTGTGTTTAGTGACCAGTGGGGTTAGCATTTTTAGTTTATTAAGTGCCTAGTTATAAATTTTGAATCTTAAATGTTTCTCATTTTGGAGAAAATGTGATGCAACTGATATATTTTTGACATTATTGGTTTCTTTGCTTTGGGTATGTTAACTATTTTATTGCTATTATTTATAAAATAGAACCAGATTGCTTGAGAAAATGTTATATTCTTTTCTTTGTCAGAGTTATTAATAAAGTCCCAAGCATTGGTAAGGGTAGCATCACCATAGTGATATGTCATATTTCTTGAGTTTTAAGTAATATAATATGTTAATAAATGGAAATTAGGATTTGGATGAGAAAATGGGTCATTTAACGTTGGGGGCACATTAAACAAATACTTTCTTTTTCTTTTTTTCTTTTTTTATTTTATTTTCTTGAGATGAAGTCTTGCTCTGTTTCCCAGGCTGGAGTGTGGTGGCGCGATCCCAGATCACTGCAACCTCTGCCTCCCGGGTTCAAGTGATTCTCCTGCCTCAGCCTCCCAAGTAGCTGAGACTACAGGCGCATGACCCCACATCCAGCTACTTTTCTGTATTTTTAGTAGAGACGGGGTTTCACCGGGTTAGCCAGGATGGTCTTGATTTCCTGACCTTGTGATTCACCTGCTTTGGCCTCCCAAAGTGCCAAGATTACAGGTGTGAGCCACTGTTCCTGGCCTAAGTACACCATTTGTTAATTGGCAAATGTCTAAATGTCTGATCTGTTTCAAGGGTTATAAGTGAAGGAAGTAAGACCAGATGTGTGTGGTAATAAATGGTTTTGTTGTTCACTACTGTGTGGCAAGCACATTCTTGTAGTCTTTCCTTATGAATAAATAGCCTATGTTAGTTTTTTCCTCTCTATTCTAGTTTTAAGAAGGCTAATACTTGATCATTTTCAAAAATAGGTTTTGGTCAGGCTGTGCAAGGTGCATTTAGATCGATTTTAGTCGTTCATTTTGAATCCACTGCTGCTTAACTTTTGTCGGAGCATTGAAAAGTTAGTGACTGATATGCTAAGATTTTGCCCTATGGATAGATGGATTACTGAAAAAATAATCATCTGTATTACCACCATAGGTTATTAAAAATGCATATTTAATGTTTGATGCTTTGTTAGGTCAACAGTCTCTCTCTTTTCTATGATGCTGGGTGTTTGCATAGGCACATCTAATATAACTATTTATTCAGTATCCTCTTTGGGGAAGGCACTGTGCCTGGCACCCCAGAAATACTAACATAGCTAAGTAACCCCCCGCCTTTGAATAGCTTATAGTTTTGTATCAGAAGATGAAGCAGGTGCAATGATATCTGTTGTAAGAAAGGTGCAGAAAAGTACTGTGGGGGATTAATGGAAGGAGAGATTACATTTTGTCAGGTAAGAAGGAATTTTGTAATGGAAGAGGTAGCAATTATGATGGAATTTGAAGGATGAAAAGTCTTTTGACATGTGAAGGAGATGGTCAGAAAGATTTTTATGCTCATGGAGGCAGAGGCAGGAAAGCACATGGAATGTTCAGATAAGGTCAGCAGATCCGGTTATAATTAGCATTTTCATTCAGTACTAGAGACTTGTCCCATTTCCCAGGCCTATTACTGGATGGACTTCTACCATTGAGTGAATTGAAAGTTAATAGCTTCCTATTTTCACAAGCAAAACTTGTAAAACCTGTTTTACACTATGCCTTTAAAAATAATTGACTACATTGAAAAACTGAGTCTTTAATATCTGTTGACTGAGTTAGGGAAAAATAATTGATTTCTTGCAGTTTGAGCTTTCATTAATTTTTGTCTTTTTTTTTTTTTAATCCTGTTCTGTTGTCAGAGAAAAACTGAGAGTATAAATGAAAGGAGTTTTATTTTTTTCTTTTTAATTTAGATATAGAAGAGCTATAGATTTAGAAATAAGGAGTGAGATAGATTGGTCATAACCTAGTTATAATTGCTATGGTTTCATAGCACTTGAGCATGGTCATTACTTTACATATATAGCTTTGTTGTTAAATAAAACTCAAAATTTGATTATTGAAAGAGTATTTAATAGATACATTTATATTATGTGGTTTTAATGTTATATTTAACTTGTCCTATAGAATTTAACATAGATTTTTAAATAATGTATTATTATTTTTTTTTTTGAAAGACGATCTTGCTTTGTTGCCCAGGCTGGAGTGTAGTGGTGCGATCTTGGCTCACTGTAACCTCCGCCTCCCGGGTTCAAGTGATTCTCCTGCCTCAGCCTCCTGAGTTGCTGGGACTGCAGGTGCGCACCACCATGCCTGGCTAAGTTTTGTACTTTTAGTAGGAACGGGGTTTCACCATGTTGGCCAGGCTGGTCTTGAACTCCTGACCTCAAGTGATCCGCCCACCTCGGCCTCCCAAAGTGCTGGGATTATAGGTGTGAACCACCCTGGCTGGCCAGATAATATTGTACTTTAATTAATATTTGTTAAATTATGAAGTATAATAAATTGAAGAATTGTTAACCACTACTGAATGTAGGAACTGTAGCGATATCAATACCAGTGTTTCTTCTACCTGTGTTCTCTTTACGTATGTCTCATTGCCTCCCCTAGCCCTAGAAGGATTCACTGTCCTAGAATGTGTATTCATCATTTTTTCCTTTTTCGAAATAAGTTTTACCATGTATCTATATTTTGCTTGTTTTTGATGTGTATAAAAGTGATAAATTGCTGTGGTCTTCTGTAATTGATTTTATTCACCTAATACAGTGTTTCATAATAAGATTACATGTTACTTATGTGGTTTTCATTTGTCTATAATGTCTACTCTAAACATTCCACAATTTTCATAATTTCTTAAGTAATTTTCCTGCTGATGGACATTTGGGTTGCTTTCAGTTTGTTGTTGTTATAAACAATGTTGCTGCTATAGTCTTATGTTGATATGCCTCCTGATACGCAAGTACTTTTTCTAAGACAGTAGTTTCCAAGTGGAGTTACTATGCTGGAGGGACATTTGGTTATATGTAGGAATGTTTGATGGTCAGATGATTGAACAGTGAACATATCAGTTAATATAAGCTTAAGTAATGCCATGGTAACACCCCTCTTTTCCCCCCAATCTTAGTGACTGGTCATAACAGTTATTTCTCACATTATGTGTCTGTTGTGGGTCGGTGGGTTTGGGGTGTGGGAGTTTCTTTTGTCACACAGTTGTTCAGGGACCCAGCCTGATGAAGTCTTGGCTCTTTTATACTTCCCTTTGTTGCTTTGGCAAGGGAAGAGGTAACTGGAGCATCATTCATGGGCTTTGTATGTTTAGATGCAGAAGTGACACATGCCACTTCTCTCCATGGCTCTTTGGCCAGAACTAGTCACATCACTCCACCTTAATTGCAAGGGGTCTGAGAAATGTGGAGAATTAGATAGAGTGATTGGTGAATAACATTATCTTTGCTGTAGGGGACACTCTTGGCATTTAAAGGCAGAGGCAGAGAGATTAAGATATGCAGAGTATTAGAGAGTTCTGCACAGGGGACAATGAAGAACTATTCAATCCACAATTCCTATAATGACCTCCTTGAGAAATACTACTGTTGGGTATACACTTTGGAGCTCAATTACTGGGCTCTGGGACATACACATTTACTTTTCGCAAGATGATACCAAGTTGTTTTTCAAGGTCGATGTACCATTTTGCATTCACATCAGTGTACAAGTGTTTTTTCTCCACATACACTTTACTGCTGTATTCCCCCATTAAACCATCACTGCAGCCAAGATAGTGACCATGTTCATTATTTCCAGAAGTTTCCTGGTGTCCCTTTATTCTCCTTTCTTCCCATCCTTTTATTCTCCTTTCTTCCCACCCTTTCCCACTCCTCTCCATCCCTAAGAAACCTTTTGCTTGATATCTTTTAATTTGTTTACATAGCATTTTTTTAAATTGTATTTTCTGTTTGGTTTATAGAAGCAGAGTTGGTTTTTGAGTATTGATCTTGTGTATTAATTTATAATCTTGCTAAATTTTCTGGTTTATTCTAATATGATGCCTATAGGTTTTTTTGTTTACTGTATAGCTAATCATATAATATTCAAATGATGACAAGTTTCTTCCTTTTTTTTGGTCTTACTGTTATAGGTAGGAATATCTAGTTTGAATAGAAACAGTAGATACTTACTTGTTTTATCAATGATCTTTTTTTTCCTTTTTTTTTTTGAGACAGAGTCTCTCTGTCACCCAGGCTGGAGTGCAGTGGTACATTCTCGGTTCATTGCAACCTCTGCCTCCCGGGTTTAAGCCACTCTCCTGCCTCAGCCTCTCAAGTAGCTGGTACTACAGGCGCCCGCCACCACACCCAGCTAATTTTTGTATTTTTAGGAGAGTCTGGGTTTCATCATGTTGGCCAAGCTGGTCTCGAACTGCTGACCTCAGGTGACCTGCCTGCCTTGGCCTCCCAAAAGTGCTGGGATTACAGGTGTGAGTCACTGCACCTGGCTCCTTATCAATGATCTTGAGAATGATATCTCATCATTAACATTGAAGTTTGCTTTAGATGTTTGATAAATACCCTTGGTCAGTTTAAGTGAGTTTTTATTTTCTGAGTTTGCTGAGAATTTTTATCCTTCATTTCAGCCTGAATGAAGTTACTAACAGCTTTTTCTGCAACTGTGGGGATAATAGTATGGGTGTCTTTAATCCATTAATGTGGTTAATTGTTTTGTAGTTCTAATTACGTTAAACTGTCTTTCTTATTCTGAGGTAAATTCAACTGGTTCTTTTTTTTTTTTGAGATGGAGTCTTGTTGTATTGCCCAGGCTGGAGCACACTGGCACGACATCAGCTCACTGTATCCTCTACCTCTCAGGTTCAAGCGATTCTCCTGCCTCAGCCTCCTGAATACCTGGGAATTACAGGCACGCACCACGACATCTGACTAATTTTTATATTTTTAGTAGAGGTGGGGTTTCACCATGTTGGCCAGGCTGGTCTCAAACTCCTGACCTCAAATGATTCACCTGCCTCAGCCTTCCAAAGTATTGGGATTATAGGGGTGAGCCACCGTGCCTGGCCTTGTTCTTGATATATATATTTTTTTAAGTTACTGGGTTTTCTAAAATAAATAAATAAATAAATTAATTAATTAAAAGGCGGGGCATGGTGGTTCATGCCTGTAATCCCAGCATTTGGGAGGCTGAGGCGGGTGGATCACGAGGTCAGGAGTTCAAGACCAGCCTGGCCAAGATGGTAAAACCCTGTCTCTACTAAAATTACGAAAATTGCTGGGCACGGTGGCAGGTGCCTGTAATCCCAGCTACTTGGGAGGCTGAGACAGGAGAATCGCTTGAACCCGGGAAGCAGAGGTTGCAGTGAGCTGAGATCACACCACTGCATTCCAGCCTGAGCAACAGAGCAAGACTCCATCTAAAATAAATAAATAAATAAATATAAATAAATAATTTTTTGGATTTTGATGCAACATTTTGTTCAAGATAAATCTTTATGACTGTGGTTACCTGTAAGTTTCCTTTCTGTTACTGTTCTCATGTGGGTCTTAGTTATACTATCCTCATAGAATGGGTTGGGGTGTTTTCCTTCATTTTTTGTTGGCTGGATGAGTTTGCATGAGTTTGGGTTGATCTGTTTTTTGAAACTTTGGTAAAACTTACCTGTAAAGCCATATGGGCCTGATATTTTTTTGAGACATTGGAAAACAACAACAACAACAACAACTTTCTGTATTTTAAATGGTTATATAGGGGCCAGGCGTGGCTCATGCCTGTAATCCCAGTACTTTGGGAGGCCAAGGCTGTAATCCCAGCTACTCAGGAGGTTGAGGTAGGAGCATCACTTGAACCCGGAAGGTGGAGGTTGCAGTGAGCCAGGATTGCATCACTGCACTCCAGCCTGGGCAAGCAGTGAAATTCCGTCTCAAAAAAAAAAAAAAAAATTGTAGGACTATTTGATTTTTTTGTTTTGTTTTATTAACACTGGATTTCACTCTGTTGTCCAGGCTGGAGTGCAGTGGTGTAGTTACTCCTCAGTATAGCCTCGACCTCCTCAGGCTTGGGCAATTTTCCCACTTTAGCCTTCTGAGTAGCTATAGGACTACAAAGTGTGCACTGCCACACCCAGCTAACTTTTGTTTTTCTGTTTTTTGTAGATACAAGGTTTTGCCATGTTGCACAGGCTTATCTCCAACTCCTGGGCTCAAGCAATCTGCCCCTCTCAGTCTCCCAAAGTGCTGGGATTGCAAGCGTGAGCCTGCACCTGGCTGATAGGACTATTTAGGCTTTTGTTTTTTCTTTATTTAGTTCTATTGGTAAAACATATTTTTTCTAAGAATTTGTCACAAAATTCTTCATAATATTCTCTTTTTAATCTCTGGTGAATCTGTAGCTATGTCTCCCTTTTCATTGTTAATATTATTTATAAGTGTCTGCTCTCTTTTTCCTGCCAGAGGATGTATCAATTTTTCTTGCTAGAGGATTTATCAATTGTACTAGTTTTCTCCAAGAATCAGTATTTTGCTTTGTTAATATTTTCTCTTACATATTTGGTTTTCATTGCACCAATTGCTATTTTATCATAGCCTTCATTCAATTTTGGATTTATTCAGTTTGGAGGTTTGATTTTTGTTTTTCTTCCAAGTTCTTTTTTTTTTTTTTGGAGACAGAGTCTTGCTCTGTTGCCCAGGCCAGATCTCAGCTCACTGCAACCCCTGCCTCCTGGGTTGGTTTTTTGTTTTTTTTTTTTGAGACGGAGTCTTGCTCTGTCGCCCAGGCTGGAGTGCAGTGGCGCAATCTCGGCTCACTACAAGCTCTGCCTCCTGGGTTCACACCATTCTTCTGCCTGAGCCTCCTGAGTAGCTGGGACTACAGGCGCCCGCCACCGCATCCGGCTAATTTTTTTGTATTTTTAGTAGAGACGGAGTTTCACCGTGTTAGCCAGGATGGTCTCGATCTCCTGACCTTGTGATCCGCCTGTCTTGGCCTCCCAAAGTGCTGGGATTACAGGAGTGAGCCACGGCGCCCAGCCTACCTCCTGGGTTTAAGCAATCCTCCCACCTCAGCCTCCCCAGTAGCTGGGACTACAGGCGCCCACCACCGCTCCTAGCTGTAAGGGTTTTTTTTGTATTTTTAGTAGAGAGGGGTTTCACCATGTTGGCCAGGCTGGTCTCGAACTCCTGACCTCAAGTGATCCACCTGCCTCAGCCTCTCAAAGTGCTGGGATTATAGGCGTGAGACAACTCGCCTGGGCTTCCTTCCAAGTTCTTAAGGTACATGCCAATCAAATTAATGTTCTACCTTCTTTTCCAATATAAGTATCAAAAGATACATGAGTTCAATTGGAAAAAAAATATATATATATATATATATTTCCCTTGATATATCTCCTTTTATTGCAATGTATAGATTTTGATATGTGGTTTTTCTGTAATTGTTTAGTTGTAAGAGTTTTAAAATTTTGGTTGTAATTTCTCCTTTCACCTATGAGTTATTTAGAAGTTTGTTATTAAGTTTCCAAACATAGAAGTTTGTATAATGTTACTTTTTGTGTGTATGTTTCCCCTTGTGAAGAACTTATAAGGAGTGGAAATTTGATTTGACTGTATTTCACTGCATCATTAGGACTTGAAAGTTCTCATGGTAGGGTTTTATTTCAGGTTAATTTCAGTTTAACAGTAATGTTTTCAATACTTATTTAACATGCTTGAAGACTTCTTAAGTAAAAATTCCTACGTAAAATCTTAAGTAAAATTTCTAAGAGGAAGTAAGAACCCCAGCACCCTATTGTGAGGTTAGAAGAATAAGAAAGGGAGTCTGGACTAATTTTAAACAGGAAGAGGAGAATTTCACTGTGGTGGGGAAATATAGTAAAGATAAAACTCCTCTTTTTTTTGGTTTCCTTGTAATTCAAATTGGGTGATCATATGCAGGAACTTAGTTCTCAGTAATGAGTAACGTATATAGGGAAAGATGCAAATCCATGCAGGCTCCTTGATCAGATACATAGTTAGTGAAATACATCAGTGGTTCTGCTGTCTGACTTATTTCTGCTTCTCTCTGTTTGCTTTTATAGGTAGAAGAAGTGAAAAAGCACCAACACTGTTTAGCATTTAGCTCCTCTGGACCCCAAAGCCAGACTTACTACATTTGCTTTGATACTTTCACAGAATACTTAAGGTGGCTGCGACAAGTCTCCAAGGTAAGCAAGCATTTAACCCAGGAATCAACTCAGCTTCTAGCTAGCTGCAAAGTTCCTTTCTGCTTTAGCCAGGTCTAAAATATAGTTACACATGCTTTTTTTTTTCCCCCCAGATACTGCCAGTGATTAGCAATTTTTAGTTTTTTAAAAAATAATTTTGCCTGAAAAGTGGCTTTTTAAAAATTGTTTTTTACTTGCCCGGTTTTGTTTATACTTAAAAATAAATTGGTCTGTAGACTGGCATTACTCTCTTAATGTTGTAGATAAAAAACATGAGATTGAGAATATTTGAGGGACTGGCCCAGGCTAAGACAACTATAAAACCACAGAATACCCAGAGAATTGTTACAAATTTCCCTTCTTTCTCTGACTGTTTTTTCATAGAAATAGTCCAATATTATACCATCTCCCCTTCACCTTTATTCTGCCTTTTCAGTGATTTAATTTTTTTAATCTTATTTTGGCCATTATATTCCTCTGATTTAATAAGATCACCCTGTCCCATGAAATAATATATAGTACTTTTGACCAGGCACACTGGCTCAATCCTGTAATCCCAGCACTTTGGAAGGCTGAGACAGGCGGATCACTTGAGTTCAGGAGTTCAAGACCAGCCTGGCCAAAATGGTGAAACCCTATCTCTACTAAAAATACAAAAAAATCAGCTGGGCATGATGGTATGCACCTGTAGTCCCAGATCCTTGGGAGGCTGAGGCATGAGAATTGCTTGAACTGGGAAGGTGGAGGTTGCAATGAGCCGAGATCGCACCATTACACTACAGCCTGGATGACAGAGTGAGACTCCAAATTAAAAAAATATATAATATATACTATAATATTATTATATTCTTTATAATTATGTGTTATATAATATATATTATGTACATTACATAATATATTGTATATTATAATTAGATAATATATAATTATAATTATATAATATATTTTTAATTACTATATATAATTATATATATAGTAAATGCAGATTTTATATATAGTAAATGCCTAGTAAATACAGGTGTTCATTACAGTACTTTTCCCTTCTCCAATTTTAAAAACCAGATATATGTTTCAAAAATGTTATATAATAATTATATATAGTTATATATAATTATATAATATCTAGTACTTTTGCGTTTAATGTAAACCAGAGTAACATTATAAATAAGACAAATAAATGGTGATATTTCAGGTAACCTGTGTAAGAATGTTTTTATATCTCATTTAGAGAATTATGTGTAAAATAATGGGGTGGATTGCAGTCTTTAGTGCCTTGGTTTGGGTGTTGTTTTTGAAATGATGAAATCTCCCTAGGGTGCCAGGAGCATTATGATGGAATATGCTTTCATATTTTTGAATTGATAATTTAACTTGTTCTCCTAGTTCAGTGTGATTCAGATTGCTGTGTGATGTAATTATTTGTCAAGTGAATGAGTAAGGAAATAACTTTGGAAAACAGTTAAGAGAAAATCAGAGAACCGTATCTAGAAAATCATTTTGAAATACTGGCCATATTTGAATTACCAGGTAAAAACCGTTGCCTGATGATGAAATATCATTTAGGAGAATTGGTTTTTCTTCCTTTTAGAGAAGAAGCAGTGGGTAGAGAGTTTCGGTTGATAGGGCTTAGAAAATTCTCTCAACCTAGTAGACAAATGGAGGTTCTAAATGTGTAAGGCAGCACTCCTGCAGGAAAAAGTTGGGAAGAGGACCCTTGTTGTTCAGACTCATGTGTAGAATTAATGTGATATTAGAAGTATACCTGTCTGGTTTTAAAATTATGCATACGGTTACAGATGTGAGGAGATACTAAATAATTGGGCTTTTATATTTATAATTTATCATTTTTATTGTGCTTTTGTATGCATTTGTATCCAAGTGGTTTTATGGATTGAAAGCAGTGAGTCAGTTGCCTACACTCTGCTTTATTCAGAATAAAATGCCTAACTAGGATCAAAGTGCAGCACATTTCTTTCTGTATAGAGATGTTGATATTTTAAATCAACTTTTAAATTATTAACTTTTTCTTTATTTTGGAATACTTTTATAATTACAGAAAAGTTGCAAAGATAGTGCAGAGAGTTCTCATAGTTTCCCAACCCCCTCACTCAGTTTACCAGACGTATTACTACAATATATCTCTCAAGTGTAAGAAACCATCATTAGTACATAACTCTGAACTAACCTGTGGAATTTATTTTTTTGTTTTGTTTTTGTTTGAGACAGAGCCTTGCTCTGTTGCCCAGGCTGGAGTGCAGTGGCACAGTCTTGGGTCACTACAACCTCTGCCTCCTGAGTTCAAGCAGTTCTCCTGCCTCAGCCTCCTGAGTAGCTGGGATTACAGGCATATGCTACCATGACCGGCTAATTTTTGTCTTTTTAGTGGAGATGGGGTTTCACCTTGTTGGCCAGGCTGCTTTTGAACTCTGAACTCAAGTGATCCGCCCGCCTTGACCTTTCAAAGTGCTGGAGCTATAGGCGTGAGCCACTGTGCCTGACCTTTATTTGGATTTCACTAGTTTTTCTATTGCCTTTTTTCTGTTTCGAGATCTAATTCAGGATACCACATTGCATTTGATTGTCATGTCTCCTGTGTCTCCTCTAGTGTCAGTTTTTCACTTTTCTGTGTTTTTCTTTCTTTCTCTCTCTCTCTCTCTCTTTTTTTTTTTTTTTTTTGAGGTGGAGTCTTGCTCTGTCACCCAGGCTGGAGTGTAATGACATGGTCTTGTCTCACTGCAACCTCTACCTCCCAGGTTCAAACGATTCTCCTGTCTCAGCCTACCGAGTAGCTTTGACTATGGGCGTATGCCACCATACCCGGCTAAGTTTTTGTGTTTTTAGTAGAGACGGGGTTTCACTATGTTGGCCAGGCTAATGTCCAACTCCTGACCTCATGATCTGCCCACCTCGGCCTACCAAAGTTGTGGGATTACAAGCGTGAGCCACTGCACCTGGCCCACTTTTCTGTGTTTTTCATGACCTTGACGGTTTTGAGGAATACTGATGAGGTATTCCTCAAAAGTGCTGAAATGCCCTGCAGTTGTATGTAGACAATAATTCACACACGTATACATATACAGCATACATTTTATACTTAGAATAAGTGGAGCTGAGTATTTCTAAGAGGGTAGAGGGACTTTGATTTGATTATCTTAGATTACTGGTATTGACTACATTCTAATTAGTTGTTAATTAGAATAAGAACTTTAACCTTCTTTCCATTTAGAAAGGCTTTGATTAGAGAAGCTGTGTAGTGTTGGGGTCAAGAATTTGAGTTTCAAAGTAAGGCAGGCATGGATTCCACCATTTCCTGGTCATGTAGCTATATCTAAGTTCCAAATTTTAAACTTTTTCATCTAATAAGGAGAATAATAATAGTACTTACCTTTTAGAGCTTATATGAGATATGCATATAATAGATTTATACTGGCACATAGTAAGTGAGTAGAACTAACTCACTCAATAAAATAATTTTATGACTGTCATCCCTGATTGGTCAAATAATATTTTAAAGTATTATCTATTTGTATGTGTATTTTCAGCAGATAAAGACACGGGTCTTGGTTTGTCTGAGCAAGTTACTTTTTGCTGCTCTTAACAACCATGTCAGCCTTTTGGGGAAAGGATGGCAGACATTGGGGAAATGATTTCCTCCTGAGAAGTTGGGGTGGGGAATAGAGGGCGATACATTTTAGTAAATGCAGATTTTCTTTCTTTTTTTTTTTTTCTTGAGATGGAGTCTTGCTCTGTCACTGAGCCTGGAGTGCAGTAGTGTGATCTCGGCTCACTGCAACCTCTTCCTCCTGGGTTCAAACAATTCTCCCGCCTCAGCCTCCCGAGTAGCTGGAATTACAGGTGCGCGCCACCATGCTGGGCTAATTTTTTTGTATTTTTAGTAGAAACGGGGTTTCACCATGTTGGCCAGGCTGGTCTCGAACTCCTGACCTCAGGTGATCCACCTGCCTCGGCCTCCCCAAGTGCTGAGATTACAGGCGTGAGCTACCGTGCCCGGCCTAGTAAATGCAGATTTTCAATACAGTACTTTTCCCTTCTCCAATTTTAAAAACCAGATACATATTTCAAAAATGTTTAGCAGTTACGGTTAGTGAATTAAGGACAAATGAATTGTAAAGGACTGATTAAAAGAGGTTAGATATTATAAAAGAAATGGGTGAAGGAATGCCCTGTTTGGGTTTGAATCCTATATAAAACATGGCCACACCCTTCTTTAAGCGTTATATGTTGAGGATAATCTTGCGATAATGTCGTTTCCTTTTTAACCTAGCATCTGGGGAGAGTAGACTAGAATCTCGCTCCATTTGGGAATATATGCCTACAGGGAATTTGACATGGGTAAGGTTGATTGTTATAAGCTCCTCCAGCTTCCAGTTTCCCCCTTCAGTTGTCATCTGCTCTTCCTCCTATGTAGGTATTAGGAAGTTACATCATTTAGTCACACTCACTGTTACTATGGAAGTGTTTAGTTTCTTTTCTTCATATTGAGAAACAAAACATTCTCAGAATGGATAGTCTTTACATCTTGATGTTTAGATAAGGGTTCATTTTGATAAGGACCTGAAAGAAAAACAAACCAACAGAAACAAAAGTTTCTGATTTTTAATAACTGTCCCCACCCCAGAGTAGGAGGGCAAAAAAGAAACAAATTTCCATTATTTTTTAATTAAAATGAATTAAGGAAGTAATGTAAAAGGAAAGTTCTTTATTTTCAGTTTATATTTCTGGATTTTCAGATACAAGAGAGGTGTTACTTTTTGTTCTGATTTGTTTCATCTGATTTTGGGAAAATTTATAGAGGTTTATTAATCAGATGTGTTCTACCAAGATAGGCTCTTATATACTTACTATTTTTAAACCTTAGCACTTAATATTGCTTGCCAAAATAATACCCAAGGCAGTCTCGTTAGAGTTTTTATTTTGGATGTGTATTAGTGGTAGACAGTGTGGAAGAGCTCCTCTGGGAGGATTACATATATTGGTTG